ATCATAAAAGGTTTTACAGGCATCAGTCAAGTCTTATTGTATAACCATTGTCTACGAGAGCGCGAAAATTTTGACTTTATGATCATTATATCAACATTGAACTTGAAGATACGCCCACTGATTAAGATATCCTTCCCTATCAAGAACAATAAAAATACAATTGCTCCGAACTAATCCTATTTAATAGTGGCATAAAAATACTTATAACTTATCTGTGACACGGTCCTATTAAATTTATACGTATCATTTTGTCGATTTTATCTAACTTTGTCTTACAGTAAAACCATAAATTTACATTGACATCGAATTCAAATAAAAGGAATTTCATTAAAAGTATTATGTACGTCTTCGCAATGCTATCATATGTATTTTAAGTTACTCGAACTGTAATAAGTTTGTACACGCGTAGATGTAAAAAAAAAGTGTCAGAATTTGTTTATGTACTTAAGTCGGCACTGGAAATTATGTTGAGACTAAGGACGTGTAAAACCCTAGTGATGTATGATGAACGAAATGAGGTAAGAAGTGACTTTTACTGACTATCGAATGGCAAGCTACAGGAATTCAAAATGTAATAAACATACAAACACACATGCATAAAACCAAACACGCTCGTCAATTACCCATTCGAGTCGGGATAAAGAGACTAGGCTAGACAAAGGCTAGGTGTTATTTTATCGACATAAGTTCCGTGGGCGTGGTCTTTCCCGGTCGAGCTGTCCCATTAGCGTTACTAGTTACTAGGCGTACCGTTAATGGCTCTAACCGTGACATAACTTGACTAGATTATTCAGGTAGAAAAAAAAATCTTATGCAATTCTTGATTAGTCAACGCCTTCTAACAGCACGTTCTACACGAAGACAGATAAAAAGTCGATATACTGATATTGTTTCTTCATCTCAATACTTGAAGAAAAGCACGTGATATGACGCACAACACTTAAGTAACATAATGTTAATGCAATATAAATATTAACTAACATAAGGCGTATCTTGATCTAGTTAATAAATAATTTATGCATAAATACTAACTGAAATAAATGGATACTAAAGGGACACAATAAAAATTTAATGTTGACTTAACAATGATCCAAGTAGTCTTATAATATTGATAAATTTTAAATCAGATAGATGTCTGTAAGATTTTTTAAAAAGCTGTATGTTGGGTAAAGCTTATGTAACAATGAATTCGTTTTTCGACAGTTTTAGACGCTTGTCAATGTTAAAAATTCAAAAACTGTTGATAAAAAGTATTATTATTAAGACGGCTATATATTTTAGTAATAATATACTTGTAAATTTCTTGCATCTTATCCGCTTACCACGACAACGCAAATTAGAAAGTAAAGCAGTTCAGACAAAGATTTTCTTAAAATTAGATTGCAATTTTATACAAACGAAAATGTTGATGCTAACATGGCACATTTTACATAAAAAAACAAACATGTATGCAATGTAATACTAATAAACTTAGTTATTTAAACAGGTTATGATAACAAGAGCAATGAATTTGGCCTACCATTTTTTTTCGTTAGCAAAGGAACCGGTTCTATTCTATCGCGGTGCCGAACTCCGGCATCGGCGTTCACAGTATAGGTTCCCCGGCGACGTAACATCGTTCCTGTTCTGCTGACCTCTATAACAACCACTTACGCACCACACTGACCACATAAACATTGTCTTACAAGACGACACACCGCAACCACCATTAACGGAAAACTACCAACATTGTAAGAACATTGACCAATTGTCTAAGTTGAAATGCAAACGCGACGTTTAGGAAGTGGGTTAACGAACCGATCGGCGCTAACTTGCACCATGCTACACCGAGTGTGACCGCCGACGAGCGAAAGGCGAGGAAACCGAGAGTGCGCGCGGTTATGTCGCGAGTGGCAGGATGGCGCACTTGCGGCCTAGAGATAGCGAGATCGCCGTCACTCGCTGATAACTTGTCCGATAACAACTGATCATATCACCCATCGGACTGAGAGTAACTAGACAAAAACAAATGATTGTCGATAGGTTCCGAAACACTCAGATATACGATGTGGTGAGAATGATTACTTTTCAAAGGTAGATAAACTTTTGGCGATATCCTAAGAAGCTTTGGAATATATTTTATGCTTAGTTTAATGTTTTAAATTCAATTTTTATTCAATTGTAGTCTCTCGATAAGTATTTGGTTTGCTATGCGACTATCTCGTTTTTAATCCACCGAGCGAAGTCAAGGTTGTGCTGCAGCGTTATCAAAAATGCAAGGCTCGTTCCCTTAGAGACGGCAAAGTACTCAAGGGACACGCCCACTCAATTATTAAACTCTACAACTAAAAGTTTAACAACTGCACCTCGCACGCTTAAACGATAAAAATACTACGAAATACAATTAGGGAAATAGACAATCAATAAATGTTTTCCCCAATAACTACGCAATTAACTTCAATGTGGTTTTTACACAAGTCTTAAAAGAAACAAGACAACAAGCCATATATAAGTGTATCAATGCTTGAATAAATATTTGAGATTTACAAAAATCTATTAATTTTAGATGATGATAAATTTTTATGTCAATTACTGCAATTGTTTTTGCTACATTGCATAATAATTACATATCAACATTTTTGACCGACTTCCCAAAAGAAGGAGGTATTCAATTCGACGGTATGTTTTTTTTTTTTTGTAAAATAAAAAATGAACATAGAAAAATTGGAAAAATTGCTATAGTGTTGCTAAATACAACCAAATGTACACATAAATATGGACTGACCATAATAAGCATTCAATATGGAATTTGAATAGATAGTTTCATATTCATACTTTCAAAATTGACAATATTTCATGCAACCGAATTAAATAAGTCACCTAAATCTATCTAGATATATAAATGTTTAGTTATATGTAAATTATTCACTTTCTACCATAAACTAAAAAGATATCTTTATTGAAGTTTGCAATCACCCTATACTTATTCATTTTCTTGAACACATATGATGCAATGCACAATTTTCCGCAAAATTGAATCACCTATACAAATGAATCGACATTTTTTTTTTGTCTATGACAAATATTTTGCTTAGATACAAAATTAAACAAACATGTTCAAAGACAGTGTATTCTGAATTTGTAGATTTTTAGTATATCCATATTAGAGATAATGGACCTTTTATTTAAAATTTAGCATTTCAAAAATTATAAATGAAACATGTATCATAAAATATAAAAAAAACAGCCTGAAAATTATTATCTTTAGGAGTATATTTCTTTGGTTATGTAATAAAGAAAAATGTTGAAAAACAGTTTGCATTATCATTATATCATGATGAAGTGATTATCTAAATTTAAATACATTTCAATCAATTGAAGTCATTGTTTATCACTTATTCAATTTTTTTATTACACTGGTGTTTGTATTTATAATTAACTAGTTTTCGCCTGCGACTTCATCCATGTGAAATAAAAAAAAACAAAAGTGAATAGCCTATGTTTTCTTCCAGACTATCCTCTACATCTGTACCAATTGTGATCAAAATCAGTTCAGCTGTTAAGGCTACGAACTCTAACAAACATCCATCCATTCATCCATCTAAGCTTTCACATTTATTATACAAGTATGAAGTATGATAAGTTTCTTTTCTTTGTGTAATGTTTTGCTATGGTAGTGTTTTATTGTGGCTGTAGGGACTGAGCCCCAACATTATTTATTTATAACAAAAACATGATTTACCTAGTTACCTTGCAATGAGAAAGTAAATATTAATATCATGGCTTAGTAGTTTTAATATAAAAAACATATAAAGAATAAATAAATGAAAATTGCTAAATATAAGGATAGCCATTATATTTAATATTCCCATTTTTAAGAGATTGATAATTCAATTATATTTTTTGTATTTCAAGCAGATGAATTTATTTTAAATTTAATAAGGTCAGAAAATTACAATGTGATTTTTTTTCCTCACAATTTTTAACGGATAAACCCAGATTGTCCAAGCCTTTATGAATTTGTTTACATCAGAATAGTTGTAATGAATAATATTATTATGTGTTAACACTAGTTTTTACATTAAATAATTTAAACTCATTAACAGAATATCAATCCACAATGAGCATAATATGGAAAGGGAATTGACTATTTTGTCAATTTACTCCTTTCATATAATAAATTATTATATTGTAGCATATCAAGAGGTTACACTACACTATAAATTTATATACTCTTAGTATTTGCCTAAAAATCAATTACTTATGACATACTGAGGTGAAATCTACTTTATTGATTTAAATATACTTCTACTGTAAATTCAAAAACCAAAATATTCATAATAATAAAAATTCTTATATAATGGTAATTTTAAAAAACTGCAGAGTTGTGAATAATAAAGAAATAGAAAAAAAATCTTATTTATTTTACATGAATTGAGTGCTATCTATTGTTTCCAAATGTGGTATAGTGTAAAATAAGATCCCAATAATTAGTACTTTGAACTTTTAACATTCACACTTGATTTAAACATGATATATAATAAGGTTATCTAAATTTTTGGGCTATATAGTTAGTTCTAACTATAGATCCTATCATTAATTACGTCATTTTAGAGTAACCTCAAAGTAATAGTAAAATTACGACGGGGTTAAAGGGTTCTTATGTATTGAAAGGTATGCTATTACGTTACCAAATTCTAGATCGAAGGTAAAACATGATTTATTCAAAAAACTAGCATAAAATACTACGCATTTTGTTGAAAAAACGTATTTTGACGTGATATCTGTCACACGCCAAGCCAAGGCTTATGTGGCAAATCTAACACACGGCCTGTAGCCATTTTTGTACAGAAGAGATATATACAATTCTGTCAATATCGATTTAATTAGTAAAAGCACGCAGTATTCTTGGAATTCATCCCAATTTGCCAAATTGCAGTCATACTACAATGTCAGAATGGAATACGTCACAGTGTAAGAAATCACGATGGCCGACAAAAGAATGGTTAGGTGGTACTTACTGCAAATTTTTACTCCTCCGAGAGGTGGTTTCGGTGGTTGATTTTCGAATGTCTTTCGAACGGATTTGCCGCCCTCGGCGAAAGACGTGGTCCTAGGGCGCCCGCTCATTATTATAGGTATAAAATAAACGGCCGAATCCTGAACTTCATAGATACTACTTCACATTTCTCGTTACCACCCTTGCTAGCACTCGCACTGAACTCTCTCACTTCGCCGACGTATTACTATATTAGAAATATAATAGTCAAAATAGTATCACTAATAGAAAGATTAAAACAAAATAAGATGGTCTTAGTAAGATTTTACAATATCATTTTGTTAATTTTTCAAATTTACATCAATAAAGTGAACGACAAATTTTTAGTTTCTTCGGACTTCATAGACTCGTTCGCTCGGTTATCGGCTAAATTCGGATCCGTTCGGGAGTTACTCGGTAGTTCGATCAGTGACGTCCTACTGGAAGTTCGATGTACGCATTAAAATATTTTTAGGAATGTGAAACAATAATGATATTTTTTTATATAAAATGAAACAAATAAAAATAAGATGAATCAGGTAAGCAACTTAACACTACCTAACTGTAGACATTTGGTTAAAATTTTAAGGTTTTTTAAAAACGGACGATAAGATAGTTTTTCGTTTTCATCATAACATTGGATTTTAAACATAATAGGGTTAAACGAAAATGTACATATAACGTTTATAACTATCAAAGCAACGAGTGAAATCAAAATACATATATGTCCTATATTCTGCCGTTTTAATTTGTTTAACTCACACAGTAAAATAGCGCCATCTGTTGAAGCAGTGTGTAGACTACAATAAAATAAACTTGTGTGAAATATCAACAAGACAAACTAAGCTAAACTTTTGGACTTTTAACTTTTTAGTTCTTCGTAGTCTCATATATTGCCTATAGTGCAGGAAAATACCTATATTTACTATGTACTATGTGCATAGGAACGATCACGAAACAACAAAATGTAACAAGTAAGGTAGATCACTAAACAATTTACATAGGTACCTACCTAATCTTAAAAAAGTGTTCATACTGTTTTGATTTTGAGCAAATATAACTTACAATTTAACTAAACTGAATAAACAAAACTTAATAAAAATGTAATCTTGCTTGTATTCTAACAATGATACGCCTAGTTTCCAATTATCTTTATCGGTCGGCCGTGTACGCAGTAGATATCCAGTACTCACACAAAGCATTATTGTGTCGTCATCAGACATGTCAGTGGTCGCAGCGTGTGGCGCAAAGGCGCGGGGCGCAGGGAGCAGTTGCGCGCGCGCAGCGATAGAGGCGGGAGGCTCTTCCGCGGCCGGCTTGCGAGCCAATAATGTAAATCAAATTCATCTTTACGCTAGATGAACAGTGCAGTGGGGCTCGCTACGAAGATCTACCATCGCAATGGAGTGCTACACATCAGACAGTTGCGACAGTGACAGCAGGGAGCAGAAAACTCTTGATCTATCAAGCAGAGTGCTCGACTCAATAACTATATCGGCCGAACTTCAGTGTATTATCGATGAGAAAGATTGTGCGGAAAATTACGAGATCATTCTTCTTTACAGCAACCGAATTAAAGCGCTGCCCGAATCCATAAACAGGTTCTGCAACTTAAAAATTCTCGATGTCAGCAACAACAGATTGGCGATACTCCCAGACTTGCTCAGAAACTGTCCACTGACATCACTCATTGCCAAACACAACCAACTCACCAACGAGTCGCTGCCCAAAAGTTTCTTTTCGACAAGGAATACATTGAGAGAATTGAATTTAAGCGGAAATCAACTGAATTTCTTTCCAGAACAAGTATTAGATTTAAATTCACTTAGATATCTATATTTAGGTGGTAACAGAATAGTCAACATACCAAAGGATATATGGAAATTAAACAGGTGGGTAAAAATAATGTAACTAAAATCCATTCAAAGATTAATGAAATTTACATAAAGGGCCATTAGCTACATAAGTTCGTCGCATACATGAATGCATATTATCTTTACCTATCTACTGATAAGAAAAAAAAAAATTCGGATATTGAACTATTTTCCAAATTGACAATTTTTACGATTGTTTTAATAAAAAGTATGTAATACACACAAAAAAACGGTTATTGACGCGATTTAATAAATTAGATGCACAAAAGCAGAAATGTGAAATATCAAAGGTTGTTACAAATAGTCTGTTTATCCCAAACACTAATATTACAAAATTAATTAAGATAAAAATAATTAGTGATGATAACAATTGACATTAGATGCATACTAAAGTGTTGTTTATATGATCATTATGTAATTATTCAAATTGAAACACGCGCTATATGAGTTTGAAGATACGTGATACGTCTGACAATAACATCTTAAAATGCAAGTCATGGACTCACAAATATTGGGCAATATCTTTATATACGTCGACAGTACATTTATAAATCTAAGAACCAAGATTAATATGTATATTTTACAAATTATGCAAGACTCAAGCTCACAGGACAATGAAGTTATAATATTCGTAATCGATTCAAAGTTGTCGAACAAAAACATCCTATCTTCTTTCCGACAACGTTATCTGAATTTATAAATAAAAGAAAAGATAGTCTGGATTATCTAGAATGTTTTATGTTGATCCTTCGTTCTAGACACGACGTCATATCATACCAACTAAAATTGTCATCGTGATCCTTGATTATGGACAATGTCCCGTAAATCATTTTAGTAGCTGTATATTCGAGCTTTGTTTACACGAAGTGTGTATTTCCCATCGGTTTCTATTCTCTGAGCTGTTAAGGCAGGGCTGGTGAACTATTGGCACGCACGCCATTGTTGACACACAATATATGGTTAAGTTTTGGGCACGTTATTGGTTACAATATTCATTTCGCACAAAAAAGTTACATATAAGTTGTATATGAGGAGCGATTGGAAGTAATCCCTATGCTACGAAATTTTACCAAAAATCAATCATAATATCAAAATTACTTGATTAGGGACTACCATGTAAGTGTACAAGAAAGCAAGTGACTAAAATGGAAGAAAAAAATGTAGGTTTATTTCGACGAACTAAAATTAAGGCGTGCGATATTTTACAGGCTGTAATCGACGCTCTACCAATGTAAAAAAGCAATGAATGTTTTCCTTCTCTTCATAGTTGTAAGGAGACAAACGGGTCGCCGGATATTATGTGAACACGCATATCAACATTAAGAGCTGCGAACGTAGTGTTAACCCCTTTTAGCTAGAACTGATTTTTAGTGTAAATGTAAATTCGAAATGTGCTCCCAAAATCCCACCTTCTCATTTTAGTCAGTTTAAATCAACATTTGGATTTATCTTGTATGGGAATAGGTTACCACAAAAATCTTAAATAACGATGTATAGAATATTTTCTATCACGAGGTGGGAAACGAGCATGCAATGAATTCGTCGAATGAGGCGACTGCTGTCCATAGACATCCGTTAAAGCAGATGCGTTCACTAGCTTTAGTCGACCGGGGCGAAGACGCACAGAAAGAGTATATTTCCCACCTCTCCACCCAATATCCCATATGCCCACCTCCATCAAATCCACTTTTCATCCTTTCCTTCTAACCGTGGAAAAAAAGGGCCTTAGATTAGGCTTATATGATATGACTCATTTTAAGTACCAAAGTTTACAAGCGTCTAGCTAGACCTTGTTTAGATAATATAATTATAGACATTTCTGACCTCGCAATACCGATTGTTGTAAAATAAGCTTTGGTTCGACTGGCAAATGTTGAATAACATTGAAAACCAATATTTATATTAGAAGTTTCTGGGTAATCACCTCATAAAGATCAATATTTCGGATTTTATTTAAAAAATGAACCAGTTATGTTTACTGCTTCAATACAATAAAACAATAGAGCCTACGTGACCTTTAGATAATATAGGCGTTTGTTAAACATCATTTTATAGAGCGAGTTCTTTGTTTAATATACCGTTTCTAGTTTAATAACGAGACTAACAAATATGTACTATATTGTGACATATTTACGACATTTCTTATATCAATTTATGTATGAAATTATGGCTGTAGGAGATATAATAGTTTGCAGCTTAAGATAAGTTTATTTTTTTCCGCTTATCGTATCATCTCGCGATATGACACTCCATAATATACATAGCCATAACAACTATACCTACACCTTTTAGTATATACCAATGCAATCTGCAAATAATTTTAAGGATAACGCTGTTCTCTTAATAATCCATTAAAGTCAGATAACCGTTGCTGTTATCATCACCAGCTCATTATACGTCCCCAATAAGGGGCTCGGAGTCTACCCTAATAAGGGGGGGCCATAGTCAACCACGCTGGCCCACTGTAGGTTGGTTGACTTCACACATATCTTTGAATATCTTCGCTGATATGTGCAGTTTACATCACGATGTTTCCCTTCACCGTAAGAACGCCGAGTAAACTATGAACATATGAAATTCGAAATATCGAAAATCACATTGGTACATGACGGGTTTCGAACCCAAGACCTTGATCTGAAGTCAAGTGTTCAAAATCCACAGCCACCGTTGCTGTTAATTAATTCATCGGATACAATAGGAGTTTCCTCTCTTGTCATCGTTACGTGTTCTGTATACCTATATTTAGCTTTATAAACTATCAGATGTGTCAATTACAGTTAATTCAATCTGTTCCGCAGCCTGCAAATACTTTCAATTGGAGGCAATCAAATCATTGAGGTGCCGGAGTCGGTGGGCGCGTTAACATCACTCCAGGCGTTAGTCCTCAGTGACAACTTCATAGAACAGCTGCCAGCGAGTATCGCCAACCTCAAACAGCTACGCTCACTGTTGATACATAAAAATAAACTCAAGACACTTCCGCCGCAAATAATCAAATTAAAATGTTTATCCGAGGTAAGGCATACCATATTTTAGATTAACTTCTCTTCTCCAGACAAAGTCGCACTCGTAGAAATTGGAGGAGTAAAGTACAGAGATGTATAATAACTAGATACAGTTAAATATAAGTTACTAAGTAATTACTAAGGATATATTTACGCCAAAATGTCTCAGACAACTTTATGACCTGTCTGTTCCACTTACCCTTCGCATGAAATGAGAACATCAAAATACCAATAATAAGCGTCCATAATAATGACTGCAGATAACCTCATATAACTTAGTAAGCGAGGTCGATGTCATGTTGCCCCTGGCATTATGTTGCCGAGAACAGCAAATTGTGATGCTGTTGCCAACAGTAAAATACTTAATAATTTTAATCATATCACACTTACTTTACTTCCTAATATTATAAATGCGATAGTTTAGATGGGTGGATGGATGTTTGTTAGCGTTTGTAGCCTAAACGGCTAAACAGATCTCCATGAAATTTGGCACAGGTTTAGAGCATAGTCTAGGAAAAACACTTAGACTACTTTTTTCCCGGGAATAGTTACGGTTCCCGTGGGATTCATTAATTTAGTTTTTTAATGTTTACTCGATAATTCTGCAACGACTCAACATATCTTATTGAAATTTGGCACAGATATAAAACAAAGTCTGGAGTACACATGAAATAAGGTTCATCCTCGAGAAATGCCCAGTTCCCGAGGAATACGTAGCTTTCTGTTATTTACATAGTTCATATGTTTAATACCACGCGGACAAAATCGCGGGCAACAGCTAGTCAAATATAATGAATGAATAAAAGATCAACATCCAATTGGATTTTGATTGTATAGTATTTGTGATTGCTTAATGAGAAAATCCAGAACAATAGCAGCGCATCCGTTTGTGTTTTCGTTTCTTACAAATTTACAGCGTCATATGACCGTCTCTACGGGAGCTACATGCTTCTAGGCGATCTCTATGAAGAATTTCGCTTAGCATGTATTAGCCACATCCAAATATTACCTAATTCGGAAGTATTTTCTGAATATCTTGGTAATATTATAAATGCAAAAATTTAAATGGATGGATGTTTATCACAGACTGTAGCTTAAACGGCTGAAAGGATTTCAATGAAATTTGGCATAGATGTAGAGGATAGTCTGGAAGAATTCATAGGCTACTTACTTATTTAATTCCGGGCGAAAGCTAGAGTTTAAAATATATTCGTTTTAAGCTCTTTGTATTCGGTGAACATCGTTTATCTCTTTGTAATTTTGTTTACTTCGGTTATAATTACATCACTGGATAAAAATTAACAATGAAGTAAAATTACTAAATAAGGCTTTGTTATGATACATAACAAAATTGTTTACGTTTGTACAATTAATGATTTTTTATATCACCTTATATGAAACTGGATGAGATAATGTTTAATTTTAATAATATTTTTATAAACTTTGATTACAGTTGAGTCTTCGAGATAACCCTTTGGTGGTGAGGTTCGTGAAAGATATGACATTGCAGCCGCCATCGTTGTTGGAGCTCGCTGGTCGGAACATCAAACTCTACGAGATACCAATAAGAGTAGGCGAAGTACCTCTGACCTTGATCAAATATTTAAAAGCGGCTGAACGTTGCGTTAATCCAAAATGCAAAGGTATGACAACAATATATTTTTGAACATTTTAGAAATGGCATGGCAACATTATTTTATCTAGAGTTTCCTGACAATTCTAGTAGAAGACACTCTCTTCACACCTTAGATTATCGTAGTGGGGAAAAGGGCATCCACAGCGGCTGCCATGGTCTCGTTTGTTTATATATACAAAGACATAGACGTTTAAATCAGCTCTGAATTGTTGATTAGTTGCTAAACAACTAAATTGGCTGCTCAACTTGATGAATGCGAGACGATGAGCCACGTGGAATATACACGTTATAATTTTTACAAAAAATATTATTTCAACACAGTTGACAATGATAGTGATAATGTAAATATGCAAAGTAAGATAACCTTTGATAATAAAATAAGTCTTCGACTGATTTATTTGTGTTTTGAAATATGGCTGTATTATTGTTCATTTCATAATATACAACATCATCACCAGCTCACTATCTTATACATGTCCCCAATGAGGGGCTCGGAGCCTACCCCTTGGTTGACTTGGCCATAGACAATCACGCTGGCCCACGACATATTGGTTGACTTCACACATATCTTTGAATTTCTTTGCCGATATGTACAACAAAGTATACTAATTTCATTTTGAAAGTTTAATACAGTTTGATTAGTCCCCCCAAATCTTTTTTTTCCCAACTACTAACATATCTAGTAGTCACCAGAATTACGACAAATATACTAGTTTAAAAAAAACTTCCTTCTATTACGTAATTCGATTAATTTATGCAGTTATATTTTATCGAATTACAAAGTATTTCAATAGAAGTTTACCTTGCACCAACAATTACAAAAGTCTGAACTTGAAACATCCTTTTTCATGGTTTATATAATTGAATGTTAAAAGACGTAAAAATCAACAACCTTCTGTACAGGAAGTGTTAGAAATTAAATTACATTTTGTAATGCAAAGTGAATTCACATATAGATAAAAATTGTTCTGATGTTTCGCTTTAGGTAATTCAAGTATTTACGTCACGTCGATAAAAGCTTTTCTTTGGGCCTTAACTTGGATCTAAATACACTAATAATTTATTGTACCATAGAAAAATTTATATTTAGAAACTAACCAATATAAATTCCCAATTTCCTTTAAGTGTCATATTAGGTCTTCAGTGTTTCTGATATCATGTATCAAAACAATTTTCTACCAGTTTTTTTTTACAGGTGTTTTCTTCGATAATCGCGTGGAGCATATTAAATTCGTCGATTTCTGCGGCAAATATCGCATACCTCTGCTCCAATACTTGTGCAGCTCAAAATGCATCACTGGTAGCTGGGAAAGTCGTGAAGTAGATAGCAACACTAATACTCATATGATGCGTAAAGTTCTACTTGGGTGATTATTCTGCAAAATCAGCTATGAACATTTTCCTTACAATTATAAACATTATTGTGATCAAATTATATTAATCAGATATATTATTATCTATAAAAGTGATTGTAAAGTTTTAATTTTACATTTATTACTATATTTGTCAAATTAGAATTTATTAGTACAAAAAAACTGTATTAGAAATAAGCAATTATGGGACCATGTTAAATAAAAATCATTATTGTTTTAAATTATGTCTATTGTTTGAAAACACTATACTCCTAACAATTAAGAGCTTTTATTAAAATTAATGAATTATTCACTTTCTTGTAACAATTTCATTCTCTCCTCTTTACCTCTTTGAATTGCAGCTTTGAATAATTTGCAATATAATTCAATAGCACATGGTGTGTCATCATTACCAGGGACTGGATATGTAACTAAGTTAGGATTACAATTACTGTCAACAATACCGATTGTAGGTATTAACATTTTTGCACTATCTCTAACAGCTGTGTGTTGACTGAGTATATTATTTTGTGTATTCAAAAATATACACAAATCTGGCAACCTAGTAATGGCACCGAATTGATGATTAGCATTTGTAAAGATACCACCACGCCAGAATCTAGTATGAGCATATTCACCACACTCCTGAGCAGTTTTATCTACTAAATGCGCATTTAATGCATTCCTATTGAAGAAACAAATTATTCCACCCCTATATGCTATATGAGCAGTGAAATTTAATGCTTTACGTAAATGGTCTGCTGTAATATCCAAATCAAATATAAGATGACCCAACCTTGAGCCGTACAAGTATGGTGTCATATATTCATTTAGAGATCCTTCTTTGTGACCAAAGTGCACTCTTGCATCAAATAAATCTTTCACAGTGAATAAATTGTGTACGCGAAAATAATCTGGGTGTTCTAGTGGATTGCTTCTATTAGGCACAGTTTCTGGAAATATAGAAAATAACATTAAATAAAACAATGTACAATAATTTAATGTAACAATTAAGAGTTATAAATAGCAAGCAATTTGGGTTATAACAAACTAAGCCAAGATCTGAACTGCTAAATGTAAAAACGAATATCACATACCCTGGATATTTTCTGGTTCTTTTTGTGGTATTGTTTGAGCGACCGTTGAATTAGACCGGAGATATAAACCACCGCTTTTGATTGAATTTCCTAAAATCAAGCAAATCAGTTGTAAACGAAAATATTTGTTTTAACACCTACCGTTCCTGATAATTAACATACTTAAATAACGAGGCAACATGGCTATTTAATATATTAACTTTATAACAGTATCTATTGTTTCGCAGTTTTTTGTATGAAATGTAAATATCTTTCGAATTTTGTGTTTTTTAGGTTATCCTAATTTTGACAGTAACTTTTTTTTAATCGATACAGATTATAATTTTTTCCTTAATAAGAAAAACCGTAAAGATGTCATTCTGTATCTGTCTACTCTTTAGTCTGTAAACGTCAATGTCAGACAGCTACCATTTTAAAAACTTTTGTTTTTTGAAAGTTTATTGTATTTAATTAACTATAGTTTACAATAAGCATAATTACCTTTTTTAAAAAGTTTGGACAAGAATAATGCAACACTAAATTTACTCGGAAAAGGGCTCAAAAATGGCTAAGAAAAATATAGAAGATGTGGATTTATATGCTATTTTAGATGTCCAGATTTCTGCTACTGAATCTGAGGTATGGGTATCAATCTGTTTTGTATATGTGAGTGTGTATTTGTTTTTTATGTAGCTAACATAGTATAATGTTTTCAGATCAAAAAAGCGTATCGTAAAAAGGCCCTACAATGTCACCCGGACAAAAATCCTGATGATCCCAAAGCGGCCGAAACTTTCCATGAATTGTCTAGGGCTTTGGAGATATTGACAGACGCAGGTGCTAGAGCTGCGTATGACAAAGTTATAAAAGCTAAAGCCGCTGCTAAACTACGTCACAAACAGTTAGATAGTAAGCGTCAGAAACTAAAAGAAGACCTTGAAAGAAGAGAGCGTGAGGCCGCCTTGGGAAAAGATTCAAATCTTACTGATGAACAAAAACTAGCTGCAGAAATTCGAAGGTTACAAAAAGAAGGGAGTCGTCTTCTTCAAGAAGAACAGCAGAGAATTAAAGAAGAAATTAGGAGAAATAAGGCAGGGCTTGCTGAACCTTATTATGTTCCCAGCTTGAATAGAATAAAGATAAAATGGAAAGCAGATAAAAATGACCCAAACAATGGTGGTTATGATGAACCTACTTTAAGAAGATTTTTAAAAAAGTATGGCTACATTTCTGCTTTAATTATTTCTCCCAATAAAAAAGGCAGTGCTTTAGTAGAATTTGCTACCAAAGAAGCTTCAGAAGTGGCTGTAGAACTTGAAAAAGGTAACTCAATAGATAAATAAGAGAATTAATTTTGTAGAATTATAGATATCTAAATGATATTACTACAAAAGAACATCTACAAAATATGGTAACCCTATTTTGTAGATTTGTTCATAAATTGTACTTGTCTTTTAAGTTATCAAGGGTCTATGATATATAGGTTGTAGGCTCTGATGGGAAGGGAACATATTATTTTTTGAAGTTATAGAGGTTTTATGTTATCAAGGTTCCACTGTATAATAATTTTATGTTGAGTGTAGTTGCAACTTTATTTTCATGTTGTTTTATTCTTTTGTATTTGTTTTGTATAAAAATGTTTTAGATGCCATCTTTTTACTGTTACAACTTTGTGACTTTCTGTCTTTAATACAGAAAAATCCTATAAGAAATGTAAAAATCTAGTAAGTCCAGATATTCAGTCACTGCTCCTACAATAACTTATTAGGTGGCATTTAAAATATAGTCAATCATTTAGTTTTTTAAAAGCTTTGGCACCATCATTCTATAAGTACACAGGTACAAGAAAAATATGATGCAACAAACTGCTTAAGTACTTTGAAATATTGAACATTATTTACTAAATTTTTTTTTCATTATTTAATTCCAGGTCTACCAGAAAACCCATTAACTTTAAAATGGCTGCATGAAAAACCAATATTGACAACAAAAAGACACCAAGGTGCACCTTCTTTGGTATCAGAGAGGGACTATGAGTCCATTGTATTGACAAAGATGAGACAAGCTGCGGAAAGACAAAGGCTAATGGAAGAAATGATGAAAGAAGATAAAGGGTTATGATGTTAATAAATTTTATATTATATTTTTAGTTTGAGTAGACTCATTTCCTTTTTCTGTCCTGTTAATATTGGTATTTAAAGTATATTAATGTGTCAATTAAACAAAAATTTGGTAATTATCCTTTATTCTTCATTGATGTCTCAAAAGGCTTCCATTCTTTTACAAAATCTAAAACCTTTTGTCTCTGAACATCACCATATTCTCGTTGCGGATTCTTCCATAGATTGTGATTTAAATCCAACATGCCACCAATAATTTCCTAAAAAGAAAAAAATTAAACTTGTTTTTTTAATTTTAAAGTTGTATGAACATAATATTGTAATTACTCACCTCAGCAAATGTCTTTGGAAATAACTGTTGGTCTTCAATAACATGTGCAAACCCTGGATCCATACCAAAATCTATCCAAAAATAGGGTAAACCCTTTGGTACACCTTTTCTTATATTTTTACCTTTCAAGTCTACAACTTTTTTGTTCATTGACCATTCTGCTTCACATTCAAGAAGAGCCTTTTTAAAGTAAATGGATGCCATGTCTCCAACATCTCTCGGCAATGGCACACAGTTTATTACCATGTGTGGATATCTGTGAAGCCTTGTTGCTGTCTCAAAAAAGACTACATCTTTGTTTTGCAGGTTGAAGAATTGTGTGATCATTTTCCTGTAATTCTGAAATAGGAGACAATAGACAACTTTATAAAATTAAAACAAGAAAGTTCTCTAAATATAAATCTATATAAAATTTCCATAGCATGATCCTATGTAAAATATGTTTGAAAAGCAAATTTTGCAAGAAAAAAAATTTAAACATTAATATGATTCAATTAATTACGATATTTGAAACATGCACCTATCATAAACATTCCAAACATTACTTTTAAATTTACAAAGAATTAAATATTTTCAAAGTTAATTAAAAAAAAACTGTAACTTATAATCATCTACATAGGATCCATAAAATTGTTACTAATTACTATAATTATTAAATAACTGACCAATATTTCTTCCCAAATATCTTCATCTAAGGAAGTAACACATGTATTATGCTGCAAAGTTGTTATAATACAATGCCCTTTGACGAGTGATTTCTTAGCAGGTAATGCCACATACACTTTACTGCCATAACTAACTATTAAATGTTTCAACATTTTTTTAGAATCTATGCAATATTCACATCCTTCCAATGATCGTTCTAATTTCATACTCTGATTGATTGCATGTTGTCTCTCTTTGTCATTATCCTTAGCCAGGTTTCTATTCTTTGATATTTCATCAACAAAAATGTCTTCCAAGTCATCATTAGGATTCCTATGTTTTGCTACTATTGTCGCTAACTCTGCATCTTGGTCATAATTAGTGCCATACTTTTCTTGTTCAAACTGAAATAAGATATTTTTGATTTGAGTTTACATTTTATAGCATAACTAGCTGTTGCTTGCCTTTGGGTATATAAACTTAAAAATAACAATATGTAGCTTATGTTTGCTATTAACATCGCTTAAATGGTGGTAGAATTTTTGAAATCGGTCCAGTGGTTTTTGAGTTATTTTAATAGTAAAAATTAGTGCAAATGGACATATGTGACTGGCAACAAAGGCAGAACAAAATTATACCAAATTGTATGTTTATACTCACCATTTGCGATAAATTGTATTTATCATCATTTCCAAAGTATTTGACTCTTTCATTAGCATTGTGTGTTTCTGCTTTTCTTTTCCCACCTTTACTTCTTGGATCTCCTGCGTGTGATGAATCTGCTTTGGATAAAGGCCTACTATTTCCCATAGCAGTGGTTGTCATTAACATTATACCATTGTCATCTTTACCAACACCAGAGTTTTGTTTTCTATACTCCCTTGCTGCTTCTAACTTGACTCTCAACTCATTTACTAACTTGGTATCACCCATAATTTCAGCTTTAACAATTTTAGCTGCTAATTTATTCATCTTTTCATCACTTAGATATAAAGAATCGGAACCCTTCTCCGATTCTGATGGACCTTTCAAAGAAACCGAATCTTTGATATTTTCACTTTTAATTGTTGTTATATCATGTTTACTTTTGTAGTCTTGTTTTTCTTCCCTTCTTTCATCTTTTCGCCAATTGCTTGCTTTTTGTCTAAATTCATTTCCGTCATACTTATGTTCATGCTTGTTTCTTGTTTCTTGCTTATCCTGATTGCTTAATGGTTTAGTATAATAATCATCATCATCAGAAGGTTTCATAAACTGTCTTGATTTACGAAAACTTTCATGTGACTGAGGTAGACCGGAACCACCATCTTTCCAATATGGATTTAATTCTCTTGAACTTGTTGAAGGATTATATGAATCTATGTTTTTTTTATTATCTTCTCGCGTAACTTTAACATCATCTTTTGTGTATGTTTTCAACATACCTGTCATTGACATCCATTCATCACGGTTTTTGGACGAACCTTTATCTTTTTCGACCCATTCATCAGACTGTGATGAACTGCTTGAAGATTCTGAATACTAAAAAGATAAAAACAATATAAAACATAGATCACTTTAATCGATTTACATAGAAAAATAGAATTTGTTTAATCAAATAACTTACTGTTTTCTTCTTAGATTTTTTGTGTTTCATTTTGTCCTTTATGTGCTTCTTTTTCTTCTCACGTTTCTCTTTCATTTTTAAGCAATTCCTGTTTACAAGGCGAAATCAACATTAACTTTACAACTTGAAAACATTACAGTGCGAACTTCGGAACGACAGTTTGACAGCTTTGATTTGACAATGACCTCATGCGCGGTTCACACTGGCATGGCTCATGGCAATCAACTGGCATAGCTGTACAAAATATGGCGCCAGTGAATCCATACAAACTGTACTGGCCAGATGTGAACTGTAGAACAAAAACAACAAAAAAAAATTAACTAAAATATATCTATATTCTAAATTATTATTATTATTTCATTTTATTATAAAAGACTTGAATGTTAAACTTTTGAATTATTTTTGTTAAAATCATATTTTGTGGATTGTACGTTGATCGAATAATTTTAATTTCGGGCCAGAAACATTTATGACATTCCTGATTTACAGGCAATTGTCGCAAAATGCCAGCACTGACACATTCCATTCGATTTTGTCACATCTTTTCAAAGATCACCTAGGGCTGTCCCAAATATCTCATTATTCGGTACGTTTGCGGTTTGGTACGTTACATCTGTAAATACGCAATAAAAATAATACGTAAGACAATTCATTTTTCAATTTACTAAATTACCTTAGTTCGATTGGGACTTACTTTTTTAAGTATTTTACACTCATTACCTAATAACTTTTAGTGGGAACAAATGTAACTTTGCTTTTAATGAAGAGATTAATTCGAGTTCGGTATTTTAAAATTGCACATCACTTACTCACTATACAGGTTCAAGTAAAGAGAATTTTGTATTACCAGGTAGTAGGTAATACAAAGTACCTTAAAATTAAAATATTTTCCCAGCTTACTATATGGCAACATACAATACTTTGAAGCTTTGGAATAATACATAATATAAAAATATAATAATTATATACGATTAATGCATATTTCCGCGATGAATTCAAAGATTGTGTTAGAAAAGCTGATAAATTTATATTGTTTTCGACTAAAAGCTTAGTGAAGTAGGAACAGTGAAGTGAAGTGGAATTCTTTCATTAAAAGTATAGTAACGTACGTAATCATTACGTTTATTAAATTTGTGGATCATGCATAGATACAACTTAATACTAAGTTCTCCGCGGAAGTGATAAACTAATTGTTGAATTTGCCAGACATATAAATATTGTTTAGAAGCCTGTTATTGGCGGAAGTTCTATGTTTATAACTTGTTAGTGTAGTAAGTAGGCAGTGGCGTGTGCAGGATAGAAAACAGTCCCGGTGCAAAGTGAAAACTGTTTGTGATTTCAAGCTTTCTTTTTAAAGTTCTATGTTGTGATTTGCGATTTTAGTTCTTATTGAATGGGTGTGTTTCATGTGATTTGATTAGTTTCTAGTTATTTGAGTAGCTGAGGGATTATCAAAACTACTTTATGTGACTTAAAGAAATTAATGTACGTCAATAGTTGCAGGTGAAAATTATTTTTCAATATGTTTTCAAAGAAGAAGAAGAAGCCTTTGATCTCTCCACCGAGCAATTTTGAGCATAGAGTGCACACAGGCTTTGATAAGAGAGAAGGAAAATATGTAGGACTTCCTTTGCAATGGGCTTCCTTAGTTGGCAGCAATCAGGTAATTTGAAATTACAAATACACCAGACTCCAGTGCATATGAAAGCAACTTTTCATTTGCATAGTCTATTTTAATATTTTTTTAACTATAGCACAATATTATCAATTGACACAGAAATAGATGATAAGGCATCCTGAAAGTTTTGCCCACTTAAATAACAAAATATCTGCAACTTCTATAGTTAAAACGGAATTTTAAAACTTTCATATGTTCCATCCCATTATTGTTTTTCTCTATAAAACTGAACTTATATGACAAGTTTGTGGTATCGTAATTTAAAAAAAAAATGAATGAGTATGGAATAAGTGATTTGTAGTTTTGACATTTACCTGAGTCCAGAGAGTTATACATTTTTAAAATTACCCTATAAAATGTCATTAAAGTTATCAAAAGTATAATAATCTACCTGATTATATAAAATAAGAAAGATTGCCATGAGATTACTGATTATAAAATTTCTTTTTATATAATTGTGCTGTAAAAATTGTAATAAAACATGTACTTATAACAGTGAGTAAACTAATTTGTTTGGTTTAATGTTTTTACTCAATGAATAGGCTAGTGCAAATTATTTAAGACCACAGTTCAGTACATTACATATCTATTTGATTATCATTCCATTCCAGATTTTAAAATCAACAAACAGACCTCTTCCATTAGTTGACCCATCAGAGATTACGCCAACTGAAATTTTAGATTTAAAAACCATAGTCAGAGGGGAGCATAGATCTGCTTCCGTTGCCTCAATGGTTCGTCCTCCATCAACAAACCCTATAGTAATAAATCCTCAACCGATACAAAATGGAGTTGTGTTACCAAAAACGTCAAATGTTGCTAGATCAAACTCCCTACGAAGTACAAGTCCTCCTCGTATACGAAGAGATTTACGAAATCAAGCAAATGTCCCACCCGCTGTACCTGAAGAATCACCACCAGTCCCGCCTGCGCCACAGCAGTACCCTAGTTTAAGACGTGAGCAAAGTAATTTTGCTTTAAAGAAATCAATACCTGAATCACCAGTAGAATGGTCGCAGGCGGGGCAAGAGGGGCTAGTGAGGGCAGGTGCTGAGCCGAATGATAATCAGCAGACAACAATAACATACCAAAACATTCAGAATGCTAATGTACCATATCAACATAATCACCCGCCTCAAGCTCAGCCCACACTTGCAATGCAAGGCCTTAATGGAAATAATATTAGTATGGGTAAGTGATACTTTTTAAGGTGTAGACATTTAGGTCAAACACTTTCTTTCAAATTATAAGTCTTGAAAAACTGATTGTGTATTTGATTAAACTTAATTAACCATCAAAATGTAAAATTAATTTGAAATCGGCCCTGTTAGAACAACAAATATGTAATGCGTAAATTAAAATAATCTATACTAATATTATAAAGAGGAGAGATTTGTGTTTTTGTATGCATTGGATTGGCTCGGGGGCTGCTGGGCCGATTTCAAATTCTTTCACCGTTGAAAAACAGCGTTGTTTTTTGAGTAAAATAGTCTAAGTTTCTTTATTATTTTTCATATGCTATAAACTAAGCGACCAGTGGTCACACATAAATCCTGTGGGTTTCTGTACCACTTATAACATCTCTTATTGTACTTTTAATTTTATGCTTTTGTCTAATAAATAAAAAAAAAAAAAAAAATTCACACTAGTTTAATTAGTTCCAGATTATTGAAATTTATATGAGTTGAAAATTCTTTTAAAATTTACTCATAAAAATATATATCAGTTTTCTAATTGTAACAATGTTTCAATAATGAAATAATTCATATGCTGTTTTTATTATTTTAGCTGACACATATTCCATGACGCGACACCAACATGTGATGCCCCCCGGCGCGCCTTCCCATTTGCCCCTGGCAGCATCTAAGCATGAGTTGCGTTTAACCCACGAACAAGTAAGTTTACAACAATATTATTTAACATTAATATATTCTGTCATATCCTTTCCTGTATCTATTGAAATATTGTCCTTTCTTTGTTCATTAAAAGGTCAATATTCTTGTATCATAATAACAATTGAAATTAAGATCGTTTTAATTATTTTCTTCTTTCGTTTTATGTAATAAAGAATAGCTTTTATGTAAAAAGAATGTAATTTGTACGTTATTCTTTTAATGTTAATGAATTACGCTTTACATATTCAACCAAATTGATCAAATCAATGTTGGTATACTTTATCATAACTCTTATCATTAGCAGATTTTTATAACCTATTTAAATAAATACGATTGGAAACAAACAAATGTTTCATCATCATCACCAGCTCACTTTACGTCCCCAATTAGGGGCTCGGAGCCGACCCTAAGTAAGGAGTGACTGAGTGAGTTAAGTGCGCTGTCCCGCTGCGGGTTGGTTGACTTCATACATATCTTTGAATTTGCCGATATGTGCAGGTTCCATCACTATTTCCTTCACCATAATGTTGCACAATTCAAACAAATGTTTATTTTTATAGAAAGAAGCCAACATAATTGTTCTTTAAAGTGTGTCATTCGTTATTCAGGTTACAGCGTAAACCGTAATAATGAATTTAATCCTCTTTCCAGTTCAGGGCAGCTCTCCGGTTAGTTGTAAGTGAAGGTGATCCGAAGGCGACATTGGTCGGTTTCAATAAGATTGGTGAGGGCAGCACTGGCTTTGTATGTTCTGCTACAGACACAAGGACAAGAAGACGTGTTGCTGTTAAAATGATGAATTTACTAAAACAGCAGCGGAGAGAATTGCTATTTAATGAAGTGGTAAGACATCATTGAAAGCGTTTTATCTCTTTATCGTAGATCAGCTATCATTATTTACGTTAAAGGTAACCTGAATATCTCCAACCAATAGTCTTTATAAAAAAATGTAGTCTTTTGTTTTGGACTCTTCAAATTGGTCTCTGATAACATGTATATTTTTTTAAATAACGTGGTTTTAATCATTTAGTTTGAAACCCTTATTTGAAAACACATAATTTGTGTAGATAGTCTTAATTTTGCAATTGTCGTAATGCTTGGTTCACACTTGGCCGATACAGTTAGCCAATAGCTCTTTGATAGGTCATCAACTGGCAGAGTGTAAACACTAAAAGGCGCCAATGAGTGTCGCTTGTTGCAACTGTTCTGCTCAAGTGTGAACCAGGCATTATGCAACAGTTATAACATTACCTATTTTTATTTTACAGGTTATAATGAGGGATTATCCTCATGCTAATATAGTGGAGATGCACGCGTCTTATTTAGTAGGGGATGAGTTATGGGTAGTAATGGAGTATATGGCAGGCGGCTCGCTCACAGACATAGTGACCCGCTCCAGAATGGACCCCGAGCAGATAGCGACAGTCTGCAAACAGTGCCTTAAGGTAACACTATTCATAGAATGTGACCTACTTTGTATGTTATCTGTGTTAGGTCATCTTAACATCGCTTTGAAAGATTCTCTTTTATATTTCTTAAACTGTGACGGAATGGGGTGGTTGGAAAATAATGAATGTGTGACTTAAAAAAATTTAATATTAATATCGATGATTTAAAATAACGAAATAAAATCAAAGAATTCAAAGAGAATTGTTGGTTATGTGAGCATATTTGGCAAGTAATAATTATCGTATACAAAAAAAAACTTTATATTGTACTTATGCAGGAAAATATCTAATATTTAAAGTGATGGATAAAAATGTTATGATAATATTTTCATAACATAATTTTAGTCCCTTTCCACCCTTTACTTAAGAGAAAAGGATGGGAAGGAAAAGTGGATTTGACGGTGGAGGAGACGCATAGGAAGGGGAAATATCCTCTTTATGTGCGTCTACTCCTAAGCCAATGAAGGGTAGGCAAACGCATCTGCAATTGCGGATGTTTATGGGCAGCGGTCGCTTTCCATTTCGGCGGATTCAGGTGGCCGCTTGCTCGTTTTCTACCTCATATTATAAAAAAAAAATTATGTGTATTTATAATCTTTTTCAGGCATTGGCGTTTTTACATGGCCAAGGTGTTATACATCGAGATATAAAATCCGATTCTATACTACTGACTGCAGATGGCCGAGTCAAATTATCTGACTTTGGATTCTGTGCTCAAGTATCACAGGTAAAATCTAAAACTAGCTGTTTTGATGCGGCTTATGCGCATTAAATTATATAAACTGTATTTTCACATTTGTGAGATTTTCAATTGCAAATTTTAAAATTCGAATGCATAAATGACGATGAAGGCCTTTGACTTTGGATAACATTTACCGTAACCAGCAACCTTGCTTCCTTAATGTTGTCAGCTTGTAGTTTTTTCCCTTTTCAATATGATGTTTTTTTTTCAAATTATCTTCTACCTAACTACAATGCCATGAAAATATACAGCCTAAAGTGCGTCGTAAGTGTAGGGTTTTATAGTATCGTAATAATGATTAAAAAAAAACTGATTGCTGACATCTTACCAAATTAAATAGTGTTTACACTTTATTGTATTAGTATAGATCTAAAATTTATATATTTTAATGTTGTAAGTTAATCTAATAATAATTATTTATAGGAGTTGCCAAAGCGGAAGTCGTTAGTTGGAACACCATATTGGATGTCTCCGGAAGTGATATCCAGGCTCCCGTATGGCCCGGAGGTGGATGTGTGGTCGCTGGGGATCATGCTGATTGAGATGGTAGATGGAGAGCCACCATTCTTTAATGAACCTCCATTACAGGTGAGAATATCTAGAAGATAATCTTTTATTCCTAAGCTAATAGAGTTTGTTATTGGTTTAGATATAACGATCTCTTGTACAAATCTTGTAACCTAAATAAGATATACTTTCTATTGTCATATTATTCTAAAATTTATCAAATAAAAGGGCTTAAGTCGTGTATGGTACACAATAAAAAATCTGATATTCATTAAAGAATTAGAGTTGCTAAAATTAGGATTTACTAGATTAGACTGGAGACATTATAATTGATTTTAACATACTTATATTATAAATGCAAATTAAATGGTTGGATGGATCTCTGAAGAACGTATTGTTATTTTTTGAATTGAGTGAAAGGTAGTATTATACTAATATTAAAAATGCGAAAGTTTCGATAGATTAATGATAGATGCTGGACGGATCTCGATGAAATTTGGTATAGATGAGGTCTTGGAGAACACAAAGGCTGCTCTATTTTGATTTTTTTTAATTCCACGCGGAATCGCGGGCGAAAAGTAGTATTATATAAGTTGTATTGCAGGCGATGCGTCGTATCCGCGACATGCCGCCGCCGCGGCCGCGCGGGGCGGCGCGCTGCCCGCCCGACCTGCTGCAGCTGGTGGAGTGCGCGCTGGTGCGCGACCCCGCGCAGCGCCAGCCCGCCGCGCGTCTGCTGCAGCACGCCTTCCTGCGCCGCGCCGGCCCGCCGGCGTTGCTCGTGCCGCTCATGCCGAACAATTAGCAGTAAGTGCCGACATAATGCGTGAAATGCCATTATGTTCAACACTCAGGACAGCCATTTAAAGGTTACATTTGTAAAAAAAAAACAAAAGCAAATGATTTTCAAAAAAGATTTTCAGACCGGTTCTAGATTAAAATTACTATAATTCTGCATACTTCTGATCTTTTGGCGCTTCATACATGTCAAAAAACGACACCTACATTTTGATATAACTCACTATTCCATACAATGATGAACACTTTCATACATTCCTCTTTATTCACTGTTATATGTATTTGTCCATATTATATGTTCTATGTATTTAGGGTCTGTCCCACAACTCTTGTATTTTTTTCGAATAAAAATCCAATGTATAAAATGTCTGATGGAAGTATCGGATTTTGGTATTTGACAGTGACATCACTTTCAAGCTATCTGAGCCTCTATCAGCCAGTAGTGGGACAGGCCCTTAGTATTTATTGTTATTAAAGATTTCGTGTTTTTATTGCCATACATTTGTTATTTATCTTGTTGTAGGGTAAATATGTAACTTATGCCTTATATAGAATAAGACAATTTTAATATTAGCATTGATAGGTAACATTCAGTTCAAATATCACCCCGTCCACATTTGGCCTGTTTAAATGTTAGTACAAGTTATATTTATGTACTTAAATTGTTGATTAAATTAATAGTTAAATGATACATTTACATAAAGAGATTAATATATCTTGCCTCAACCATGACAGCTATGAAATATATATGAGAATAGAAATTCAATTTTATTATCAGCTATGTTAATTTCAGTATCATATTATGTTGAATGTATTATCTGGGTCTGTATTATAATGCTTATATTTTTTTACATGTTATCTTTGGTATTTAAGAAAAGAACAATTTTTTCCTGTAAGAAAAGACAAAACAATTTTGCGTTATTTAAAAATCAGCAACTTTTTTCTACTTTTGATTTAATCAATTTTTTTTAAATAATAATGAAAAACATTAAAAACTCCATGGCCTAACTTAAATTAATACATCAGTAGGGTTGTACTTATTGTAGGAAGTATTCTAAAGTTATCAGTATGTTTAAGCCAGCTAATTCCGATATATGCAGCTTTAATTATTTATCTACAAAATATTGTATATTTGGCACATAAGACAGATATAAAAAAGGATAATTAATTTTTTTAAGTAATCTGTCAATCAGCTTTGTAATGGCTATGATTTTTGGTGTTAACTTTTCTGGTTTTTAATTGTTAGATATCTTTTATATACTAATGCCAGGATAAGTGCCTAAGGGCCTGTCCCACCGAATTGTAAATTGTCTAATAACAATACAACATATAAAATATGTGATGGAAATGTCGGATTTTGGTCCCTTACCTGTGACGACATTTTTAAGCTATCTGAACCTCTATCAGCCAGTAGTGGGACAGGCCTTAAAAATTGTTAAAATCAGTATTATAACATTTGGATCATGTACTTATTTGGAATGCCCTATTACATTCCAGAATGTTTTAACCCTTGATGTTGCTATATTCAAATTAAAGGATTTAACCTTTTTTAATGTAGATATCTTTTCATATAATCTGCCTTATTTCACATTCCAAAAATTAATTTCATTATTTAATTTATAAATAAATTATAAGAAAAATCAATTTTACATTTTTATTTAGTCACAAATATTTTTTTAAACTTTTTTCGATTAGAAACTAATGAAATTTTGTTTTGTTTTTCAGACATGTTTAAGTATAGAATTGCTAGTTCGTAGGGCTTATGTATACATTAACTTTACTATTTACTTACGGTTGTTTATATTCGCCTTATATACGATTCTTATGAGTATTGTAAGTGTTGGTAATCGAATCATTGCACCTTTAGATGTTAAATATTGTACGTAATTTATTAACTTATATACCGAGATAGCGAAATTTTTTAATTACTTACAAATATTTGAGCCTCAATATAGATTTACCAAGTGTTGAAGTGATTATTGTATTTGATTTTTAAAAAGGTGTATTTGCATTTCATTGTCTTTGAATGCTAACTTTATTGCTGTAGATATTTCCCCCAGTGACTTAGGCAGCTTTATTACGTTATTAAAAAAATATTTAATATTAAGTGCCTTAAATTGTTACATGTTGGTACTGTTTACGTAATTGTTGAATGTTGCATAGTATCATCACAGACGAATCCGTAATTTTCCATTATCAATGTAATTTATTTGTATCAGTTTTCTTAAGGTTATATGCCAAATATATTGTAATATGAAATCACATTGTTAATAAGAAACTGTTATGGAATATAGATTTGGAAATATTATTGACTTTTCATTTAACCTTTTGTTAACTATACAGAGTATACAAAGCTGAGCTGAGGAAAAAATATGCAAATTGCGGAATTTAATGTTTTTTTTTAAATTTTAACTGAGATTGCAATTTGAAGACAAAAAAAAGATAGAGATGAAAATAAGAACAAATAATATTTACGAATGAAAGTTTATTTCCAATTAAAATAAAACAATAATAATATTCAGAGAATCATCAAATTTCTTATTTGTAAAATTCGTATTCACTCTCGTCCTTCTTGATGTTGTTCTTGTATCCTTTTTCGAAGTCTTTCGGCAATACGATGTATCTAAAAGTAAATTTAAGATTGTTATTTAAAAAAAAATTTTTTTTTACAAATTTAGTTGATTACCACATACTCCTAATCAAATATCAACATTGGGAGCTAGAAAATTTATCTGCTATTTTGAATACTAATGCATGCTAATGACTACTAAAAAGTCTATTAATTTTGTATGCTCGGTGAGATGTTTAAAAATTTCTAAAAAATTAATTATTACTAAAGACCCTAACTGTTACTTGCTGTATACTATATATACTTCTGTGTAAATTTATAATTTTAAAGGAAAAATAATTCAAAGAAAACTTTCATTTTTCTATTCAACTAACGATGTGTTCCGCTATTTTGTATTTTAAATCATATAAATATAATACCTGTTCTCTCTGACGGCGTGCATGCCGGCCTCCTGGCAGATGGCGTTAATGTCCGCACCCGACACGCGGTCCGGCCGCGCCACGAACTCCTCCAGGTCCACCTCCTCCGACAGGTTCATCTTCGCCGTGATCGTGGAGAAGATCAGCCGCTTCTGACGCCTGCGCACACACTTCCTTTATATTCCAACACCAGGAAACTCTACTACTACTTAAATTCTATTTTTTATGTCAATTAGCAGATGGCCATTATATTTGATCAAATAACATCTACCGTTGCACATAGAAATCTGCAATTTCGGATTTACTTTTTACTTGTAATCAACAGACAGAAAAGTAAAACAGTCAGACCTTGAATTTGTGCACATAAAAATGTTTCCCTACCTTAACCCTCCTCCCCTGTTGAATTCCTTCCTACCCTTCCCTTATTAAAAAGTGATGGGAAAGTGAGACTAAAACAAGGCTTAAGACATAAACACTTGGGAGGTTATTCACAATGACCTACAGCTGGAAGTGTACCACTTTCTTCTGTCTAATTTTTAGTTTACTATTTATAAGTTTATGTGCTTGTCCCACAATTCTTGTAATTTGTTAGATAACAATCCAACATGTAAAAGGATAGAACATATAGCATTTTGTTCCCTACTCTAACATTAAAATCACTTTTAAGCTATCTGAGTCTTTATCAGCCAGTGGTGGGACAGAGATTAAATAACATAACATTGTTTATGTGAAATAAATAAGTATTTATAATATCTGACCTGTCCGGCAGAGGGAACTCTATCTTCCTGTCGAGTCTGCCGGGCCGCAGCAGCGCGGGATCCAACGTGTCCGCGCGATTTGTTGCCATTATTACCTGAAAATAACATCACATTTTGATTACATTTAACTTCACTAAAAATTACTAAAATACATTAATATTAAACCATTTATATGAAGATATCTTAAGGAAATAGTGAACAGAGTCGGTCTAGAGTTGAATTCTGAAATGACATTTAAATATGAATCTTAAATGATAATGTTACACTTATACTCCAAACTCCATTAGAATTCGGACATCGGTCAGATTGTAAGCGGCACAAAGTGAAGTGTATTAGATTTGTTTCAATATATGGCCATTTGCTGCACATTTAGTATAAAGACTTACTTTAACATTAGTGGTTTGATCAAAACCATCCATCTGATTGAGTAACTCCAACAGAATTCTCTGCACTTCTCTATCAGCTCCCGTTTGAGCATCAAATCTGAAAATGAAAAACTTTATGTTGACATGTCAACAACATCAACTTGACTTTGTCTTTACCGAGGGTTGGCACAGTATGTGTAGCTTCCATACATTTCTATAGCTGTCATATCTAAATCCCTTCTTAAGTATATCCTCTTTCACACAATCCATCCATAATTTCTTCTGTCTTCATTCACCTTTGTAGCCATCCACATTGAATCTTAACATGAACAACATTTTGTAAATTTATGCGTGCTCCCAAACTTACCGTTTTGTAGCGATAGCATCAATTTCATCAATAAATATAATGGCGGGGCTATTCTCTTTAGCGAGACGGAACACGTCGCGCACCATGCGCGGTCCCTCGCCCAAATACTTCTGCACGAACTCAGAACCAACCACACGAATGAATGCAGCTATGAAAAAAAAAAACGATTGGGTCAACAAAAAAAGCTTTAGGAAAGTCATTATTAATTTTTATGTATAGGATAAAAATGCTTGTTTAAAGTGTCAAGTTTAACTAAGTATATTTAAACTTCATGGATATTAAAATAAATGTTAAATTGTTTAGTGGCAGTATAAAAACCCTGCAAGTTGCGAGAAACATGGAACTAATATCCTCATGCGCATTAAAAAGTGATGCAATGAATATGTTAAATATAGCATCCTTGGGCCAGGATTATTATTGGTTAAACTTACTACTAAATCATACTAATCATACTTCATACTAATATTATAAATGCGAAAGTTTAGATGGATCGTTGGATGTTTGTTAGAGTTTGTAACCTAAACGGATGAACAGATTTTGATGAAATTTGGTATAGATGTAGAGAATAATCTGGAAGAACACATAGGCTACTCATTTTTGTTTTTTTTTTAATTCCACGCGGAGGGAGTCGCGGGCGAGAGCTAGTAATATATACATGTATGAAAATCAGCTCTGAATGGTTTAGTAGTTTAGGCCACTGATTTTAACTATTGATCTATGGCTCAACAATTAAATTATTAGGTCATGGCTCAACATGATTACACAACTATGCAAACTGACAAGCAAGTGACTTGCAGTGCAGACTTCAAATTGCAAATTATAACTCTATGCAGGTTCAAATAGACCTGATCTCTGAGCAGGCTCACTGATCTGCATTACATACAAACAATATAGGTCATTCTCAGTCAAGTTAATTGTGTCTTTTATAAAAAAATTGGTATTAACCTACCTGTAGTATGATGTGCAACAGCCTTTGCCAACATTGTTTTGCCACAACCTGGAGGTCCGTACATCAACACACCTCTTGGAGGCTCAATACCAATCTGGCGGTACAGCTCCACATGTGTGAGGGGAAGTTCCACCGCTTCTCTGATCTCTTGCTTCTGTGTATCCATACCACCAATATCTGAGTATTGTACATCCGGTTTCTCATCTGAAAAAATATTTTCATTCAATTAGTATTTTACAATAAATAAAATAATGAATAAAGCATGTAAATCATACTAATATTATAAATGCAAAAGTTTAGATAGATGGATGGATGGATGTTTGTTAGAGTTTGTAACCTAAATGGCTTAGTGGATTTCAATAAAATTTGGTATAGATGTAGTTAGTCTGGAAGAACACATAGGCTGCTTATTTTGTTTATTTTTAATTGCACACGGATGAGGTCACATGTGAAAGACATTTATTATAACAAAGCAAACAGCAAACAAAACCTAAACATTACTTTCTAGTATCTATAAAATGGCCTTTTTTCTTACTTAATTACAAAAACAAGAATAGACACAATGCCTTCAGATATACTCTAAAATATATCAAACCTCACTGAAAGAATATGTTCAATATATCTTACCTGCTTGCAGCATAGAGATAGAGCTATCAGCTTCAGGTGGCAAAACATCAACAAGAGCATTTGAATGTTTATGCAGCGCTACTGATGCTGATGGTTTCAACAGCTCACGGTCAATCGTAGACAAGATTCTGACATAGTAATTGGAGCCTGTGGTACTTCCAACTGTAACAATGTATAAAAATGTGGGCTTATGCATTAAACACAATAACTACTAATTAAGAATCTTGAAACATGTATCTAAGCTACAAAACCAGAAATAACAAGAATTATTAACATTGAAGAGACTGTCTACATTTTGAAGTAATTTACAGTATTGTTAAAAGCATTCAGTCAAGTCATTCAGCAAGGAGGTAGTACAGTACACTCGTTAGTTTATAATTTAAAAAATATTTTATAAATATAATAAGCAAAAAATATACCTATGCCAGTATTTTGATCAACAGCCTCAAGAAACTGTCCAATGACCAATGGAACCGATTGGATACGTTTAACTTCTTCTTGGGCATGTAGGTACTCTTTCTTGAGATTTCTTTGTTCATCTTTAATATATTCTTCTTGAACTTCCAAGAATTCTAACATCCGCTGCAATTTCTGGTAATAAAAGAACATTATTTGAAACAAGAATATCAAATAATGGTTCTACAGAGAAACAAAAGAGGTGGAATGGTCATATATTTTCTATCTCGATTTTGGTATGTTAACTACCTTGTACTTTGTGTAAAGATCTTCAGATTCCAGTTCATCGAAAGTTTGGGGTCCAGCGAAAGACAGTCCTTTTGTGTCGGCGACTTGGTCATCCTGAAAATACATTTAGGTTAATAATTACTATATACAACAATGGGTAAAGTATAGTAAAATGTTTAAAAATTACTTTTTCGGGCAATATAATACCAATTTCTTCCATTTTACAAAATATTTAGTCACGGTATTATTTGAGTTCACAACGACAGCACAGATTATAAAATAATGAAATGTCAATTGTTTTAATACGCCGTCATGCTCGTTTCCTTTTACGCATTCCATCATCATCATTGATGTAAAAATTACAATTCTTTTGAACTTATTTTATTTTTAATTTAAACTATTATTTAGATGTTCAAAATTTTATGAAAAATAGTTATGTTAATAATTCATCTCTCCATCTCGGGTAACATATCAAAACTGCATAACATTGAAACACCTCTTGCCTCTTGGTTTATTAAGAAACATATAGATGTCATGCAGATAAATTAAAGTAAAATAAGAACGTAACTTAAAAAATAGCCTAGTATTTTATCTAGTTTATGTTCCATATATGAGCCAAATTTAATCAAAATGCGTTAAGCCGTTATCGTTATTATGTATTTCTTTATAGAAATAAATGAAATACATAATAACAAATATCCATCTGTCCAAACTTTCTCATTTACAATATTAGTATGAAACATGATCTAACGCTATTTACTGTTATTATCAATACGGTGGTAAATACCAGTTATCGAAAATTGTTGCAAAAGGTACTTGTTACCGGTCTGAATGTAATCACAAAGTACCATCTAATCAATAAAATATTTGATAAGCATAAGAATTCGTAAACAAGTGATATTTCAAAACAGTCTTTAAATCATCGAAAATAACATAAACCTAACGTCATATATTTAATCGACTTGTAATAGAGTACAACATTGTGTATATATTTACGTAAGTTATCCTAAATACCGAAATTGATTTTGCAATCACGGCAATTTATCAGTTATACTATCGTTATAGTTTATTGCCATCTGATTTAAAGTTGATCTAGATAATTATAGCTTATATAAACGCTATTGAAGTAATGAGAGGGTAAACTTTCATTATGAAGGTGTTAGTGATTTTTGCGGTGCTCGCGGCAGCAGCCAATGCCAAATCTATCAACTCTTTAGTACCTGACAATCACTCTGCTTACGGGTATTTGCAAGATGTCGGAGTCCCAGAAGCTGAAAGGATACAAAAAGCAGAAGAGGCATATCTGAGGGGAAGAATCACTGGAGGAGTTCCCGCTGCTCTTGGTCAAATTCCCTACCAGGTTTATTAATTATTTATGTTACTAATAGAGATCGATGTAAGAGATCTTAGATTTGCATTCAATTTCTTTCACTTTAATCATTAAATGGCCTTAATACCTATAAACAATCTTTGCGTGATAATTTATCATACTAATCTAAAAATATCTACCATATACTAAGTTTCTTCCTTAGCGACAGCCTATGTTTCTAAATTTGTTTAAAAAGTCCAAAGAATGTCATAAACATAATCATTTGTTACAGGCTGGTCTAATCACTGATATTATTGGCATCACCGGGCGTGGAGTTTGCGGCGGTACCCTCATTTCACCAGACAGAGTGTTGACTGCTGCGCATTGCTGGTACGATGGTAGACACCAGGCGTGGAGGGTGACCGTGGTGCTTGGCTCCGTGCTGCTGTTCTCTGGCGGGAACAGACAACAGTCCAGCGTTGTTGTCACACACCCGAGTTGGATTCCCCTGTTAGTCAGAAACGACATCGGTGTCATCTATTTACCTTCGGCTGTTGCGCAATCAGGTAAGCGACAGCCTTCATTTGTTTAACTGATAATTAGAAGCGACTTATCACGTCTTTATTGGATTTTCAAAAAGCTGAATTTGAAGGGATCACGTTCAATTGTTTTTATAATAAATAATTTGATAAAACAACATACGCTAAAGGATATATTGTTTCACAGCCACAATAGCAACAATTTCGTTGCCAAGTGATGCTGAAACCAGTCAGACCTTCGCCGGATACCGCGCTATTGCTTCTGGCTTCGGTGCTACAAGCACAGGTAATGATTTTTTACTTAATTTAATGGACCACTCTTTTTCAAATGTATTCTATTTTACATATATGTAAACTTTTTGGTTTGAATTCAATAATTTTTCGGTATATTTTTAGTGGGTATATTCGGTTAAAATAAATTGTGTAGACACTCTATTGGTCTCAGTTTCATCTAAGAATTACGCTAGATATTTTTAACATACTTTGAGCGGGCGTACATCTATGATTATCGCACAACTGTGTGCGATTTTCGATCGTTTTGCAGCCAATTCAACTGTTTATTGCACAACAAAAAATCCAGTAGTGTGCGAGACTATACAGTCGTGCGATAATTTAGTTTCAGATGAGTGTACGGTCCTAAACTCCTTACTAAATTTCTTAGTGTTTATTTCCAGGTGCTAACATTACCACCAGTCAATACCTGAGCCAAGTGAATCTGAACGTGATTTCCAATAGTGTGTGCAACATCGCGTTCCCATCGGTCATACAGAGTTCTAACTTGTGCACGAGTGGTCTCGGCGGGATCGGGGTCTGCGGCGGCGACTCCGGCGGCCCACTGGTCACCACCTACAACGGCAGACAGATTGTGGTGCGTAAAAATGTTATACCAACAAATAAAATAGGTTTTTTGATAATATAAAGCGACAAAAGCGCAAACGGCCTAAAAAATTTTTCAAAATAGCGAAGTATAGACATCCGCATTTACAGATTCGTTGCCTACCTTTCATCAACAGAGAAGGGAATGAAACGGACGTACAAAAATAAGATACTTTTCGTACCCATTAGAACATTACTCTGTCAAGTCCATTTTACATTCCTATACTTTTTTGTTGGCAAAAAAGGCATGCATGCAAGATGTCGGAGCCCCATGCAAATAGACAAATTAATGTTTTTTTTCTTTATCGATATAAAGACAAATGAGTGGTAAAATTCGCCGTCACATGGTTAATATTGTAAACTTAAATAATTATTTTTCTGCAGATCGGAGTGACTTCCTTCGGCATTCGTTTCGGCTGTGACATCGGATATCCGTCGGCGTTCGCTAGAGTCACTTCATTCTTGGAATTCATCACATCAAATTTGTAAACAAAATGTACATATGAGTACCTATACAATGCAATATTAAAACTAATAAAAATGTAACAATCTCATTAGTTTTTTTTATTTTATATGATATTTTAATAGAGATCGATAACAGAACAGACAATTTATTATTAAACCGAATAAAGCTGGATAAGAGTCAACGCACACTTAACAACGCCTTATGGTCTGCGAAATGACGAATGCGCGTTAACCTTAGATAAAACTTATCACCAAGAACATGTCTAGATGTAATAACTTTGATAAATAAATGAAATTAAACAGCACAATATTTATTTAATTAAACTTTTACGACGCATCGTATCAATGAATAATTGATTAACAAAAATAATCATCAAGTGCGTCAATAAAATATTTTCAATCCTTACTAATATTATAAATGCGAAAGTTTGGATAGATAAACTGATGCACGGATCTCGATAAAATTTGGCGTAGACGGAGAGGATAGTCTGGGAAACATTTAGACTACGTGCTTTTGTTTTATTTTTATTTTATAAAGATAATTTAGTAATAATCAGTATGTCAAAGATTACAAAAGGACAAGATAGTTAGCAATTATGTTATGCCCAATCTACTATAGTATATAGTATTCCATTAGACATTTAGATAAATCCTACTTACACTACTGTAAAGAATGCTACTAAAATTAGGCTGCTAGAATCTGGCCAAGATCTATAATAAGCTGGGTCAATATATTGAAAGTAATTGTGAATTGCTTTTTCTTTTTTTATTACGTATTTGAATATTTTATTCTCATTATTACATTATTAACGTTACGTTATCATATTATTATCATAGCTTATTTAAATTTTAATACTTTTATCAAAATAAGATTGCTAGAAGATGGATATAAAAGTATTTTTGATTTACCAAAATCGGAGTACGTTTCCTGTTATTTGAAAATGAAGTTACTTCTGGCTCTTGTGGCAACTGTTGCCTTCGCTAACGCGAGGTACATCGAGCAGGAGATTCCTGAATATAACACCGCGTATGGCTACATGCAGAACTATGGTATCCCACTTGCGCAGGCCATCTACAAAGCGGAACAGGAGAACAATGAGCCCAGAATTATCGGAGGATCAGCGGCTAGATTGGGACAATTCCCTTACCAGGTTTGTCCTCGCTATTTGATCGTTATTTTGTGTCTTAAACGTAATAATGGGCTTATTAGAATTTTTTACTTTATTGAAAAACAAAATATGATAGTCAAAATTTAATTATATCTGTTATCCTTAAATTTTAACCTATCATCAATTATATCAGCATAAGCAATTCTATTGTTTTAATTCTATGTTGTCATTGAAATGCATTTTCACTTTTGGCTAATAAAACCGATTTTCTACAGGCTGGTCTGATCTCTGACATCGTCGGCACCAGCAACCGCGGTGTCTGCGGCGGTTCTTTGGTGTCCACGTCCAGGGTAGTGACTGCTGCTCACTGCTGGTTCGACGGTCGCAACCAGGGCTGGAGGTTCACCGTCGTGTTGGGCTCCATCAGTCTCTTCAGCGGCGGCACCAGGCTGGAAACCACCAACGTTGTTATGCACAACAGTTGGAACCCAAACAATGCCCGTAATGATGTCGCTGTCATCCGCTTGAACAGCGCCGTGTCCTTAAATGGTAAGTTTCTGTACTTTATACTAATATTGTAAAGAGGAAAGATTTGTATTTTTGCATTTTTGTATGTATCGAAATAACTCAAAAACTACTAGACCGATTTCAAAAATTAAACTATTAAATAGCTACGTTATCCCTGATTAACATTGGCTATATCTTTCATTTCACGTGGACAAAGTCGCGAGCAACAGCTGGTTTTAACTAAACAGATTTCCTCAGTCAGTTGAGTAAGGATATATCACAATATGACTTAAGAGTGATTTGACGGAGAATTTCAATAATTACAAGCACACTGTTTTGGTTCATCTGAAAAAAAAAAAAAAAAAATTAAATCTTAGTATAGTATAAAGCATTTAGGTAGTTCTTTAATGGAAATTTATTTTTTTACAGCCAATATCGCATTAGTAGCTCTGCCAACTGGCTCTGTAGCGAACGAGAACTTTGCGGGTAACACTGCTACGGCATCTGGCTTCGGTCTTACCAGGCAAAGTAAGTGTAAACTTCCAAAATTAAAAAGTTTAATTATTATTATTTAATAAAAGATGAATAAAGATCTCCCCAAAAGGTAGACAAATCACTTTCTATATTTCATACAATGTAACTCTCACAATTGTGGTCATAGACTTTTGATGACTATCATGATTAAATAATTTTGCATAAAACTTTTTATTTTCACAAACATTTTATATTTTTTACATGGTTATTTTTTTCATATCCCGAAGTACACGAAATTTCTCTTCATTTTTAACTTAAAAAAAAATCTTTTCTCGCATTCCAGATGGTCAAATCACCACTAGTCAGTTCCTAAGCTTTGTCAATCTGAACGTGATCACGAACAACGCCTGCTCTCTGGCTTTCCCGCTGATTGTCCAGTCCTCGAACATCTGCACTAGCGGCTCTGGTGGTAGAGGTGTGTGCGGCGGCGATTCTGGCGGCCCCTTGACTGTTGTGAGAAACAACAGACCTACCTTGGTAAGAAATTTCACTTTACAATTAGAGACGCACACCTTAGCTATCGCACGACTGTTTAGTAGCTCTTAGATTCCTCTAAGCTTATATTGACACTACTTGATTTTTAGTTGTGCAACTAAACAGTTGTATTGTCTGCGAAAGAATTGATAATTGCCCAACAGTTGTGCGATAGTTTAGCCAAAGGTGTGCGGCCGCTCTTATAGTATAGCTGGCGTTTGTCGATTGTTTCTTACTAAAAGCTTTGCTTACATCGATCTCTAGGTGCAATCATATTAATATATGGTAGACTACGTTACTCACTGTTAACTGGTTTTTAGTAATACTGATTATTGTAACTATAAAATTCATGTAAGTCGAAGTATGATTGTCATTTCTTATAATGTAAATATTTTCCAGGTCGGTATCACGTCTTTCGGCTCTGGTCTCGGCTGCGAAAGGAACCTACCCTCCGCATACGCGAGAGTCACCTCTTTCCTGAGCTTCATCAACCAGAACATTTAAATAACTATAAGAAATATTTCTATAAAATACCAAAATGTACTAACACTGAATAAAAGTACTCAATTATCTGAAAAACTTTCTTTTATTTTACTTTCCTCTCACTCTTGGTGATGATTGTTTCGACATTGTTATGAAAATGTAATTTTATTGAAACAAATTGATTTTAGCCTATTGAACAAATAGACATTTTAAGAAGCAATCCGAGCCGGAAATTAAGTTCCTTGGCACAGCCAAATGTTGATGACATATGAACAATACGTTTACCTATACTAAAATTATAAAGAGGCACGATTTGTATTTTTGTATATATTGAAATAACTTTAAAATTACTGAGCCGACTTTAAAAATTCTTTCACAAACAGAAAGGTAATTTATCTGTGAGTAACATAGGCTATATTTTATTATTACTAATGTTTAGGAACGATTAATAAATAGCGTGTTTCTGGACGCCAGCGTTAAAAATTCACTAAACTTTAACTTTTCTCTTTGTTCTTTTTTCCTTTTTACGAGGACGAAGTCGCAAGCAACAGCCAGTAATATTTAAAATGAAATATTGATCATTCATCAACTTGGATTAGGTATAGAATTAGTTTGATAATATTCATTAAATAGATAAAGTGCATTATATTAATATTGGGTTTTCCCGTACGTAGTGACCCGTAACGAAATTATGATAACATTTCTTAATAAAAGAAAATAAATGTTACTTCATTAATTCAATAAATAAGAAGGAAAAGATTTTTTAATCAAGTGCCCAACAGTTGTCGGTTTCAATTCGAAGGAAGAAACTTCAGCGAGTCCAAAAGTTATTACAATAATGCATATTCAGATGCGTTTTATTAAAACTTTAATATAGTAAAATTAGTTTAATATTATGTAAAATGTTTACAGAAATAAAGAAATCTCATTTATTTATATATCGACACGACAAACTCTAAAGAAATTGTAAGACCTAATTTAAAATCTTGTTATATTAGTTACTGACTATTAAAACATCTGGCAACACAAAGTAAATATATAATGTAGGTTTCCGAATATGAAATAGTTTAGCTTCAACCATATTTTCAAAGTTTAGGTTATGATTTGGCATTGCAATAGTAACCATTCATAGACTTACAAACAACGTAATCCGGATTCGTCTGTAAAATAATAAATCACTTTTATCTTTTAATGCATTTTTATCTGATGTATAACTTATAGATTGACAAATTACGAAAACATATCGGATTATATTTATCTAATTGATTAGTTTCATTTACTTTTATTCTGTTAGTAACAATACATAATCATATTGTACAATTAATGATATCAGCTACGTGCTACAAGACACACAATAAAATAATCGAACCGTACCGCAATAAGCACTACATAATGGTTAAAAGTAATTCGGAAACCAGCCATTAATCAAACATTCAGTTGTTTTCTTTAAATTGGGCGGATATAATCAATACAATCAACCAACCTAAAGGGAAAAAAATCCATTAGCTAACATCCAGATAATCTATTCTTAATCGTTCAGTATTTTTTTATTTAAAAAAAACAACAGCGTACACATATATAAACATATAATATCTAGTATTATCTATACTTCTATACTATCTATACTATTATAATAAAGCGTAAACACACACTTGTTTGTGACGTAGGATGTCAGCAATCACAGCGTATTTTTGAATAATTCTTTCGTTAATAAAAATTCGCACGGGGATCGCTAGTGTGACAATAAAGCAAATAGGCTTTTATTTAAGTTCATAATACAATAATAAAAAAAATATGATGAGAGTCAATGAATGGGAGTATGATAGTAAGTCACAAACTTCTAGAATGTTCTTTATAAACAGTGTTAAATTTAAAACATTTCATTGTAACAATTGAAAATCATGACGTAGATACTATGTCTGTTGAAGTGTGTAGTCTGCTGATATATTGGCGTATGTTGACTTAGATAGTCGTAGGTAAGTGTACCATCAAATTTCCATCCGCTCCGATGTTGCTATGTGGAACAAACAATAAGATTTGATTGGCTCCGGCCACATTCAGTGCCTCGTCTGCGGCCGCACTACGTTCGTTAGCTGCAACTTTATTGAATATGAATAACGAAATTTTAGAAAATGTTACCTTGTTGTGGCTTAGTATGTAAAATACGGAAATTGTATACGAATAGAACATTCGTACGTTGTAGGTTCTACAATCACTTCAATTTCGACTACAACGTTATGAAAATGTTTTGAAAATAGTGTTTTATTTGTTGCAAAATTTATGGATTGCAAGCGTCCACCCCCAATCCACTTTATCGCATTATTATTGTTAATATACGGTAATCTTTCATTCAACCAATTCCACAGCACTTAATATTCCTTAGTGTAATTCTATATAAAGTGAATATTATATGAACTAATATAAACATTTCAGTCATCTTTTAATACAATTCAATTGGACCAATTAATTTGCCTCACATAATGTCGACGACGGTGCATATAAAACGCTACTATCTGCAGTAAATATGCAATTTAACGAACACGACGAGCGAATAATCAAGAATGGACAGAGAAGTGCATTGTCGTGTCGCGATGATTTTTTAAACAGCGACCAGTGTGAGCCTTCGCTTTTATACTGATTTTCTACTACATGTATATCTGTTACCCTCTAATTGTAATGAAATCAATTTAATTATTAACGTATTTACGAGAATATTATTGTTGTAAGATTTAGATACTATTTATGTTCTTGCGACGGCGACTCGAAATTTAATATCGAAATAATTGGAAATATAACTTCCATCCTAAAATCTATGATAAAATGAAAATGGTGTTAACTGTTTTAAGAGCAGACGAAGTACAGACAGCCAATTAGTACACGTGAAAACTGAAAGAAAAAAAGACGATCAGTGATTTTTTTACACCATTCGAAGTCTTTAATGTCTAATCTGTCAGACTCTGGTTAGTCTAAGAGTTGGCAACCCTAAGTACATTTACTACGTTTATCAAACATATGAATAGAACGTATTATGATGCACGGGGCGATGCTACGAGTGTAACAGGACGAGGGCAGATTACCGACTCAATTATTCTCGCAGCGTCAATCACTCGCCGGGAAGGCAATCGATATCCTGATGCCAATTTTGAGTGATCGCAGACCAAAATTGTTTTGAAAGATCATAAGTGTTCATCTATTATATCATAATAATGTAAGTACAATTTTGTTTTGACGTTCTTTATTTTAATGGTTAGTGACTCATCATCATCGACTTGCCCTTATCCCTTATGGAGGGTCGGCACAGTATGTGCTGCTCTTCTATACTTTATCAGCTGTCATACATATATATATCCACTCCTTAAGCATATCCTCTTTCACACAATCCATCTATACTTTCTTCGGTCTTCCTCTTCCTTTGTAGCCATCCACATTCATTCTTAACACTTTCTGGTTTAATGGTTAGTGGCTGACGATCATTTTACCAGTATCATTTGCGACTGATGAGTACCTTAAGTTATAACTACAACTTTTGCATGCCAGCCTTTTTTAATTTGGAAATTATATAAATTCCAGGTAAGTGGCCAGACAAAATTTATAAAAATCGAATAATGTTTAACAAATTATTGAATAAATCCTACAAAATTATTACTCTGCCTCTTAGTAAATATTAAAGATAAAAAATTACAAGTTCCCTATTAATTGCCTAAAAGGGGATATTTTCATTTCTCGAATTATTTGATTTCACTTAAGTTAAAAGCCGTTTCAGATATTTCTTTGTCGTTAAAATATTTCTCTGGTCAAATTACACTTCTTCTGTTTGAATGAGCTTTTACCTTAATTAATTGAAGACAAAGAAATTTAGTACAAAAAATTACCTAAAACGTACTCGTTTTCACTGTTCTTTAAAACTATTCAACAATGTACATATATGTTTTTATTTTTTTAATATCACTTTTAAGTAACAAGTTTCAGTCTTACGAATACTTAATATAAAAGCTAAATTTAAGATGAATGGATTGTTAACCTGGGTGAACAATATTGGCTACTTACTATTTATTTATTACCACGCGGACGTACTCACGGGAAAAGATTAGTCTTATGTACTCATCTATACTTATGTAATAAAGAGAAAAGATTTGTATTTTTGTATGTACCTACAAGTTTGATTCACGTAAAAACTAAACCGATTTTAAAAATTTTTTCACCATTGCAAAAGTAATGTAACCAACATAGACTATGTTTTTCATTATTTTTTGATTTCACGCAGATGATGTCGCGAGCAACAGCTAGTTTTAATATAAACAAGATTGAATAAGGTCTGATAAGTGACTTAAGTGTAAAAGTGTACCTCCCGCAGACAGTTTGAGTAATGAACTAGATTAAAGTACACTAAAACGCCTGTACCCTAATGGGCACGCCTTTTAACTCATTAAAGGGTTTAAAAACTCGTCTAAAGTGAAACAGTAGGAGAGTAAACGTCGTTAATGTTAAAATATTGTTTAGGGACGAGCCTCGGTACCGACAGTGTGAAATTTTAATCACAGGTAAAGTATGCATTTAAAAGCCTAAAGCAACTTTACCTACTAAAATACAAACTTGAGGTACAATTTAAAATACGCATATAGTTTTTACACATTATTTTAATTCACCAACATTATATTAGTGACCTGACAAATCTACGGAAGTTATGGCATCGGTTTGGTTGTGCTCTCACAGTGCACTAAGTCCCCTTTAAAAGAATTAAGTAGTTAACTTTTTTTCTTGTGCCCTTGTCAATCATCATTATTCATAAAGACTTCCATAGGACCAAAGCTGTACAATTACATTTTGATCTCTCTGTTTTTCAAAGTGAATGATAAGGATGGGAAGGTTTTGGCCGGTTAGAACAAATACTAGCTAAACCAATAATTGAAGCTAAACTAATGGTTTCCCAGCTACGGTTAACAATTTCTTAGATTTTTATTAAATACGTTTCCGAACTACGAAACATAGGTCAAACTAATATTAATGAATCACTAGTTAATGATAATATAAGTGGTAACTTCAGAAACCCAGCTTAAGTTGAATTTTCAACAAAAAGACAACACGTCAACAAATAA